GGGTAGCAGTAGCTGTAAAGGAGACCAGCCCATTGCGTGTCATGGTTTTGGGATGAGGGGGAGGGGGAGGGTTTTAAAAGGGGAGATGGGGACTGGTGGGTGAGGAGGTATGTTTCATTGGTGTATAATGCCAGCATGTAACAATGTTAGATTAAAGTTGATTTTGTACTGATGTTTTGATGTATTATTTGCGGGGTTTACCTTCCATAACGTAATTGGAGGTATTGGAACTGTGTGATTAGGTATGGGATGTGACGGGCCCAGGGGGGGAGGGTGTGTTTTGGGTGCACTACGGGATGTGTTGAGGGATGTAGGTGTTGTATATGTGGTGGGCAGGGGGGAGTATGGGTGGAGCACACGTTTTTTCGTGGGAATTATGGGGGAGGTTAATAGGATATATGTGATGCAGGGGATTGGTGTGGAGAGAGTGAGGGCTTTTGATGTCGGTTTTTCGGATCATAGGGCGGTGAAGCTGATCTGCGGGGGGATGGGATAGTTTTGCATATATCGGTATTGGAAATTGAATGTGAGGCTTCTGCAGGAGGGGGGTGAAGGCTCATCCTTTGAGGAAGGTGGAGACATTGCTGGGAGGGTAGGGATGGTGGGATGGATTTGCTTGACTGGTGGGGGATGCGGGGCAAAGACAGCAATAGCAGAGTTTTTAGGATACTGGAAAGGGAACAGGCAAGGTGTAGATATGGTTTGCAAAACTACCTGGGGGGACAGCTGAATGCTGTTTAAAGACGGGGGGGAAGGGGAAGATGTGCGAGGTGAGGTGGATGGCTTAAGGAGTAGGATTGAAGGATTACAAATGAAAGGTTTAACGCGATTAGAGTTAGGGCAGGATTAGAGGAGGTGTTAAAGGGTGATCGACCATCAGGTTTTTGTCCTAAGAAAATTTAGGGAAAGGCAGATGGTGACTACCAAAGCGCATCTATGGTCGCTGATGGGGGGGGGTTATGTGGTGGGGCAAGGTCTTACTGATACAGATGATATTAGTGGTTATGCTGATTATTTTGGTTTAGGGAAAATGGAGGAGGAACAAGGAAGTTGTCAGTGAGGAGGTATTTGGGGTATTGCAGAAAAACTATTGTATTGGGACAAGAGGAAAAAGGAAATGCTGGAGGGTAGTATTAGTGAGGAGGAGGGGGGGGAGGCGGTTTACGGGATGATCAGGGTAAGACGCCGGCATTGATGGAATACCGAATATTTTTATAGAGTTTATTGGGAAAAGCATTAGGGATGGGTTAGTGGAAGTCTTGAATCATATGTGGGGCAGTGGGAGGATGGGAAGACCCAGAAAACAGGGATCGTTGTGTTGGTGCCGAAGAAGAAGGATGGGAAAGTATTTAATGATTAAAAGAGCAATAAACCTTAATGTGTGCAGATTAAAAATTTTTGCTAAAAATTCTGGGCAAAAGACTGAAGAAGGTTCTAGGATCAGTGGGACATGGGGACAGTTTGGGATTCCGGGAAGAAGTATGAGGGACGGCATAGTCAAATAAGGATTTTATTGAGGGCGCACCGGAGGGGGAATACTTGGATTAGATTGGGCTAAAAGCGATGATTGTGTGAATAGGGTTTCTTAAAAGTTTGTTTGGAACAGCTGGGTTTGGGGGGGAAGGTGGTGAGATGGGTGCAAACCTTGTATGAGGGCAGTTATTAGGTACAGGTTAATGTAAAGTTTGGGGACCCAGTACTGATGGAGAGAGGTTTGAGGCAGGGGTGTCCACTCTCTCAGTTATTGTTTGCCTGCGTACAGAATCCATTTTATGGGCTGGTGGATGAGGTGATGATTGAACATGGGGTTAGGGGGGTGGGAGGGGGGGATTGTGGGGGACGTAGATATACTACCGTGCTGGTAAGGCATGAGAAGATCTAAGGAAAGTTTGGGGGAATCATTCAGATTTTTTGGGGACGCCACGGGTATGAGAAATTAATTTAATGAAGTCGAGACTATTAGAGGTGGGGGATTGGGTGAGGGGCTTGGGGGGGGTTGGGATGGTCCGTAGTGGACAGAATTAAGGTTTGTTTGGGAAAATGGTACTGGCGGAAGTGCAGGAAAGTAGGGAAAATAAATTCGGAAATTTGTTACGAGCAGGTTTTGGGTAGCTAGGAGGCTTAAGGGCTAGGGATGTAACATTACACAGAGAGTTTTAGTGTCAACTCTCTGGTTTACAGAAGGTGTGGGGAGTGGCTGAGGTGTTCCCTTTAAGAGCAAGAGAATTGCAGAAACCAGAGGAAGGGTTCTAAGGTATGTGTGGGGGTTTGGGAGGGCATGGTTGAGCAAGGACGTGGGGATGACGGAGGGAGACGTGGGGTCTTGGCCTGATGTCATTGGTCATAGAGTAATGGCTTTATATATTAAACAAAGATATATTCGGACTGGGGGAATAAGGAGTCAGGGTAGGTAGGGTAATGGAGGAAAGCACGAAGATGGGGGTGGAAGGGATTTGAGGTATTGTGAGGATATGTTGAGGGTTTTTATTACATGTTAAACAGGTGTCCACGTTAAAGGTCAAACGAATGGTGGGTGCTGTGGTAGGCAAGGGTGTCTTACAGGGACTGCTGTTTTATCCAACATATGACTGGATAAGCATATGGAGGAAGTTTTTGGGGTTTCTTAGAATACCAGCGAGGGTACGAGAGTTTGTATAATCGTTTCTGATGGGAATATTGGCCTCTAGGATGTGTTATATAAAATGGGTCTTGTGAGAAGGACTCATGCTTGCATTGTGGGGACATCGAAACGGCCTTCATGCGGTATATTTTTGTCCCCCTTTGGAGGGGGTGAGGTTATGGGTGGTGAAGATTATCAGATTTTTGGGGGGGGGCAAGGCCATTCCTACGGCCTTAATGTTGGATGTAACTGGGGTGCCGGGATGTGGTAGAGCCTTAATGTATGTTATGACGGAATTTTTTACATGTATCTTGGGGGGTGAGGGGGGTTAGGGAGAGTTGAGGATAAAAGCGTTAGCAGCGAGAATTTATAGAACTATGTGTAGGAAAAGGCAAGTCTATGGGGGGAGGTGGGGAGTTAGCTTTTCGGAGGTTACCGGAATCTCACTGTGGGGGGCCTTCTCCTCATGAACCCAGGGGGCGGGCAAAGGGTTGGTCTCCTAACCGGGGGGTGCATGAGGGTGGGTTGGTTTAGGCTTCTTTGTAGTGTGGATGGTGGGGGGTTATGAAAAGAGTGGAAGGGTGATGAATGAGGATTTGGAATCTATGGTTATTCACTGCATACAGATAACCTTAAAAACCCTGATGACTAAACCTTGGGATCTCGGGTTAGAGCAGAATGATGTTAAGATAAGCACACAAGTTAACTTGATCGTTGTAAAAACTTATGTTTGTGAAGTCTTCACCCTGCACAGTTGCTTTGTGGGAAAAATTTTCTGCTATGTTTTATATATGAAATCATGATCTTGGTTTTTAGTCAATTTTATAATCACATATAATGACACCTTTTTCCCATGTACCTAAAATTTTATGTAATGATATATGAATTATAATGGATAGTGAGGTATTTGTTAAGGAGTGGGCAATTTTATTGTTAAAGCCCTTAAATGGGGTTTCTATGAGATTGTAAACTGGTTTTGTTCAATGGTGTTATTGGGGAAAAAACAAGGATGGAACATGTATGAACTTGTATTCAATATTTTTAATTATGACTACTGTATGTGCATGAGGAATTTTTATTCCCATGAAAATGCTCATAAAAATAACATTGATAATAGGGAAAAGGGGGGGGTAGTATGTTTCCGGCACGAAGTAAGTGCGGCGAGTCTTTAGACAATGAGAATTATAATTATATGCTAATATATTGTTTATATAATTATCTTTTTAGACTGTTTATATATAAAAAAAAAAATCAGCAATGATGTACTAAGTGTTTCAAATAGGAGATAGGTTTTTTTTGTCCTGTAACTAACAGTTTTGATACCTTATGTTAGGATTTTGTTAGTTGTATGGGTTGTACTTGCGTATATAATGTTATGTCTTTTACTTGAGGGTGTTTTCCTGCCCAGTGTTTATGTGAGGAGTTTCATTGTGAGATGTATCAATGTAATGTTTATTGTAGGCTTAGGTTTGCATAATGTTAAAATTAATGTTCTGTATAATTTTAATTTTTGTATGTTAAATAATATTTATTGTGCACTTTGTGCAAGGGTTTTAAAATTTTACAGATTGTGGGGGATTTATGTGGACACAGACATAAAATTTTTGAGTTTTTGGTTTTTTTCTAATTTTTTTTTGGTTCGTGCTGGACTCCCCTCGCTCTTTATTTATGTTAAGAGATTCCTGCTATTTGCGGGAAGTATTAATGTGGTATGTCTTTGCAATTTTATTGTAGGTTAGGTTAGCCTTTTGTTTTTAATTAATTAATGTATAATTTTATCCTTCGTATGCTGCATCATATCATCTGTGTTACTTTTGCAAGGAGTTTTAAATGTACTGTATAATAGGCATGATTTGTAGTTTAGAATTTGTTGATGTTTTTTCTGAGCAGGTGTTATCCTGTTCGTTTCATTGTTCGGGGATGGTATATTCTTTAATACAATATGAATGTAACACTTGTGGTATACTATGGGGTTGATGGTAGGTCATTGTATTTTCAAACGGTTAATAATTGTGTTCTTTTATTTATTTATATCTTGTACTGTGTCCTTTTAAATAAAATATAAAAAAAAAATTCCATATGTCTCTCGAATAATCAGAGGCAACAACGTCAACGCCGAATCTTGATTAATTGTACCTCTCAGTAATTCTATGCCGACAGTGTTAATTCTGCGTCTCACCCCAACCACCATTGTGACAGCCTGGCTAGCACTTGCGCCTGTCAGAGAGGAGTAGCAAAAACGTCCACCCTCACCGACAGCTGGGCGAGGAATGTCTTGTATATTTAGTTTGTATGTAGGTATTATGTAACAACTTCTCTACTCACTGTGCTCGTTGGAAAGGAGTTTTGATTGGCTACCCTTCCTACGAACAACCTGCTCGCTTGTTTGATTACTGGTCGTGTGGTAAGCTGGTAGAAGTCACCTGACGTTGTATCTGGAGAGCCACCTTCCCACTCACACTCACTCAGCTGCTGGTCAAGGCCACATCTGTTGTACATCAATAGTATTTAGTACGTAGTTTTGTAATACTTTCTTTAGCTATCCGGGGCATTTATCTCTTAACTTTCAGCAGAACATTATTTAATAAGTTGATCTGTTGTTCTCTGGATATTCCTAGACTTCTCAGTTGTCGCATTTTGCAACAAAAGTCAGATGAAGTTCAGTGCTGAGGAGAGTTTGGGTTGGTAAAGAAAATTTCTGGCACGGGTCAGGAGTGGTATGGCGATGGACGAGAAATGGGGGGTGGGAGGGGGAAGAATAATGAGCAGCTATATTTATTGTAGAAAATGTTTGGCCAAGAATGGCTTCTTCAGTTAGAATTAGTGGCTCATGGCGAAACGCTTAACAAATATCCTGCTTTTCACAGGTGTCAAGGATCCAGAGGTACAGTGGCCGGCAGCGACAACTGGTTCACACGTGGCTTGCACTGGTTCTCGGCACTTGCCGTTGTGATTTGACCTTGTATAAACCACGCTCTAAACACCTAACAAGTTCCTCTATACGCAGCATGTGCTAAAGACATGGATCTTGAATCTTTAGACTCTGATGATTCTCTAGAAAAGTCTCATGACAATCTTGTGATTGATCTAGATTTTTCGCCCAATGAATTGGAGCGGAATTTACCTAACTTAGAAGTCGGTGACACAATTACCGCCACAGCTGAAAGTTTAGGACGCACACGGAGGCGCCGACATCCACATAAATGCCCTCACTGCTACGCGATTTATTATTATGAAGCCAGGTTTAAGCAGCACCTTCTCGCTTGCGGATCCAGTATCCGCATCGCACAGGCTAACAAGGTACCTGAAGTCCTGCCTATAAAGCAAAAACCTGATGAAAGCCGTAAACGGAAGCGTCAAACTGGTATAGTAAATACTTACCAATGCCCTCAGTGCATCCTTAATTTCAAGTTTAGAAGTTTGTTTGAGCGACACCTTGTTACTCACAAAATTGTCCCTTCGAAACGGAAGGAAGGAACTTCTAGCGCGGTGGACAGGGCAGGATACTTCCTGCAGCGACGTCAGCTATATCCATGTCCCTACTGCTTAAAAATTTACCAAGATGAAGACGAATTTAAGGAACACTTTCTTGTTCACGAACCCAGTCCCAGCAGCGTCCGGCATGATGAACCCCAAGTCAGGCCAAAGAACTTGACCGTGAAAGAGGAAGGCGCTTTCTGAGGCTTCTTATGAGGGTGTACTTTCACTTTCAAGGGATCCAAGCTGGGCTGCTGTCTCGGGTAAGTCTCATTCCTGTCGACTATAATTTTGTTACCACCTTCCACTTTTTTTAACCTGAACAATGTCTGGCACTACCGGTGTTATGTACTGATGCCTATGCATCTACAGTTCATGTAAAACTATTCTGTGTTAATTAAAAAATAAAATCGTATAAATGTGATCTTTGCTCTGTTCAGATCGACGACAGGCAAGTGCAAGGAAATAAATGTCTAAGTCAGCTTAATGAAGATTTAGACTACCTCGCTACTCTCCCACCTGTCACATTACTTCCATCTCAAACACGGGAGATAAAGGACGCTTCTCGAGTGTTTGTGGAGCTTCCAGCGGCTGGAGATGGATTAGTCTGCTCCTTCCACTTCCTGCTGGTGTAAAGTGGAAGTCTCACCTGGACGGAGACTTCAAAAGCTTTTATAAATGACTGCAGTGTCTCCACTGCTTTATACAAGACTTTGCTCTTTCTACTATCTTTATGTATGCAGTTTTTAGATTTAGTAATAAACCAGGTTTAATAAACTTTCGCTCTTATTTCCTTACTCGTAGAAGTTTATTAAAGTATTTAAAGACTACTTTAACAATTACCTATTAAGTTTGTATTTAATTTTCCATTAGAATAACTGTTTTTATCTTCCAAACTGAATATGTAATTCATAAGTACCATGTGTCCTAAGACTACTTAAATACTGTGAACGGACTAGTAACTTTCTGCATAAATTACTAGTGTAAATTATAATAAATTATAATAAATTATAATAAAGCGCTGAACCACAAGGGTTCCTAAGTGTGGGGGAAAAATAACATTTTTGATTGAACAGTAAATAGAGCAATCATAAGTTGTGCAAGACAAGGTATACAATGCAACAGTTAGGTATCGTTTCATAATAGATACCTAACTGTTGCATATGTCTTACCTAACAACCTGTCGGTATTTTATACCATTTTAATGTTCAAGGTATACAATACCGACAAGATGAAAGTTGGTTTAGAAAGACACGTAAGCAAACACTGACATATTTATTAGAAAACGTTTCGGTCCTGGGACCTTGATCACTTCTGAGAAGTGATCAAGGTCCCAGGACCGAAAAGTTTTCTAATAAATATGTATTTGCTTACGTGTCTTTCTAAACCAACTTGTCGGTATTTATTACCAAGGTTTATACCAAGATGAGTTAACCAGATGTTGCAAGTGTCTTAACTTTCATCTTGTGTATTGTATACCTGTCTTGCACAACCTGTCAGGCACTGCAACATCATTGTATATTGATTCAGAGGACATCTACATCACCTTCTTCACGACTTCTACAACTAGCCCATCAATTTGGGAAGGACTTGCTTCCACTGGGGAATCCCGCCTACCAGTGACTATGCCCTCGTCTGCTACGTCTCTTCACTGACGCCTATATAAGCGCCAGTCTCCTTACCTGTGCTTCAGAACCTCTACAACTATGGTGCTGTAAACACCACCTCCAAGGCTGAGGGACTGGTTACCTCATCTTTTGTATATAGTTCTTCTATTTTCTAATTATGTCAAAGAATCTGTATTGATAAAGCCACTGGAGGCGAAACGTCTACAATAAAATAACCAGAGTTTCACAAGTTCTTAACTTTTTATCAATCTGTTAAGTGTTGCACTAAACAGCCGTGAACGACAGTGCCTCATTTCCGACCAGTATTCTTAACTAGTGCAGTTATTTGCTGGGAACTGCTAGTGAAGATGTTCGATGTCTGGAGATTTCTAAGGGATCCGTTTTAAGACTGAGAACCTGCAAACTGATTCCTCTAAAATGGCTCTTAATAGTCATCAAATTACGACAGACGCTTATCAAACTCGGCTATTATTGTAACTACCCCCCCCCCCCCCCTCGAGGTAGTTTCCTTGACAGAAGGGTTTTTTGGTCTGGAATGGGATCTGTGCTCCATTTCCCTGAATATCTTCCATTCCTCCCCCCCCACGTGCGCTGCACAATCTTACGGGTTTAGCGCTCCATAACATATGCAAAGTGCTTTTTTTTTTTTTTTTTTTTTTTTTTATAAATGTTCCTAGATTTCAAGTGAGGCAACCACATGTGAATAGGAAAATAAGTAAGTTTAACAGCCCAAGTTCCACTCGCTTATCGGGTTGAAAGTTTTAATTACCGGGAGAGAGTTCCGGGGGCCAACGCCCCCGCGGCCCGGCCCTGTGACCAGGCCTCCGTGGATTCAGTCTGATCAGCCGCTGTCACTGCGGCTGCACGCAAACCAACGTACGAGCCACACCCCGGGCTGGTAGGAACAGACTTTAGGTGCTTGCCCCAGTGCCAGCTTGAAGACTGCCAGGGTCTGTTGGTAATCCCCCTTATATATGCTGGGAGGCAGTTGAACAGTCCGGGGCCCCTGACACTTTGTATGGTCCTTAACGTGCTAGTGACACCCCGCTTTTCATTGGGGGGATTTTGCATCGTCTGCCAAGTCCAGCGGTTGAGGAACTATCTTAAGTTGTTAATTTTTTCCAATGTCAATTTGGGATCTACGCAGTAAATTTTAAAATGACTTTAGCTCAAAATTGTTGCAATGATCTTCAGGTCAAACAAGTCACTGACACATTAGCTCAAGTTACAGAAATTTAAAAGGACGCAAATGAAACTGACATTGTGCAACGTTTTCTCTCCAGGACCGGGTTGATACGTCCTGGAGAGACTTGCCAGTGTCACATTAGTTGTATTTTCTCAAGTTTTGTAACTTGACCAATATTAATAAAATGTGCGAAGTAACCAGTAAATAGAGGAGATTCTCCAGTTGTGATAAAGTATTAGAGACTTGTGAAACACGTGAATCTTTTATTAACGAAAGTTTCGCCAGTGGCTTCATCAGTCCAATACAAAGAAATGCGTAAAAAGGAAAAGCTTTAGGTAATCAGTCCCTCAGCCTGGAATCGATGTGTTCAGTCCATCACTTAAAAGTTCAGCATATGGCCGGAGAAGTGGTATACATATTGTAGTTAGTCGAGGCGGGGGGTATCAGTGGAACCTTCCACAAAAATCTTCGTCCAAAGTTGGAAAAGCATTTTAAATTTCTTGATACAAGATCCCATGATGTTGCATGTTTGACGTCTGATTGAATGGTTTTTGAAAACCGTCAAGTTGAAGATTGAGACTTTTTGCAACATTTGGGAATTTCACTGAAGCGTGTTGTCAGTTACTTCAGTTTTAAAGCAGAAAGGTGTAAGAAGAGTTTGAGGTAATCAGTCCCTGAGCCTGTGTACAACACAGGCCAAAGAGGCCTTGTCAGTCCCACATGCTACACAAGTGGGCACTTGTGTAAAAATGGTATAAAATAAACCCACAATATGAAATTAAGACACCTTGTAACATCGGGATCTTTAAAATTTTTGTAGACTTTTCGCCATCCAGTGGCTATATCAATACAAATTCCAGGACATTTAATTCGAAGACAGTAGAACTATATACAGGAGACTAGGTAATCAGTCCCTCAGCCTTGGAGGGTTCGGGAAGACACCCTAGTCGTGGAGATTTTGGAGCAAAGCAAAGGGCGCGCTTTTAAACTACGAAGGTGAAAGAGGACGGTAGCAGACGAGGACAGTCACTGATACGGGATTCCCCAGTGGGAAATAGGTCCTGCCAAAAACTACTTTTGTCGCCGTGAAGGTTATTACATGTCCTCAAATCAAATTCCATGATGCTGATGTCTGACAGGTTGTGCAAAACCCCCTACCAAAGACTGTCCTCGTCTGCTCCCCGCCCCCTTTTCCCCCTGACGTCAGATATAAAAACCAGGTTCCTTTTTTTTTACTCCGAAACTCCACACCACGGTACTTTACACCAAATCTAAGGCTAGGGGCTGTCTCCTTCTGTATAAGTTCTACTGTCTTCGAATTTCGTCCTGGAATTTGTATTGATAAATCCACGAGGGGAAAAGTCTAAAATGAAGATACCCAATTTGCATATGTCTTAATTTCAAACTTTACCTTTTCGGTTTTAAGCCATTTATCAACTTAATAAACTTAAACGAAGCTTCCTTTAAGGAAATTCATCGCTTAGAAATTTTTAATAAAAATGGCCAGAAAACTGACAATTCATAAGACATTGCGGGACAATAGGAAAACCAAGAGTCCTATTGGTCTGACCGCCATCAAGTCCCTGGCAGTCAGGTTCGGTCTTTAGCCCAATGATAGGGAATCACGTTTTTCAAGTTTATCCTTTTGTATGGACGAGAACCCACTGTGTGGGAAATTTCCTCAATAAAGATCCCCAAGATTCACAGGTCTATTTAAAAACTTACCCAGGTACTTTACACAAAGGTGCTATGTAACTATTTGGTATACCAAATAAACTTACTTGGGGTTTTTTAACTATTCCTCAGAAAAATGCTAAGGGTAATTTTGAATTAATTCACATAGTGATCGTATTGAGTCACGTCACTGACGGGCTTGTGATTAAGAAGCAAAAAAAAAAAAATATTTAAAGATTTAAAAATATTCACTAACACTTTTCACCTATTTTACAAAGCTTACTTTTTCAAAATTTAAAATGTAAATGAATCTAGGGAAAAGGTTTAAAAGTATAAAGTAAAACCAAACAATTGCAAATTTTGTCGGGGTTTTTTAAGTCCTCCCCCGGGGGAAAAGCGGGGACTGGGTTTGACGACGCTTTCCCCGACTTGCAAGTGTCGGGTAGCCAGAACTTGGCTTGTTGGGTAAGACACATATGCAACAGTTAGGAAATCTTTATTTCGAAACGTTTCGCCTACACAGTAGGCTTCTTCAGTCGAGTACAGAAAAGTTGATAGAAGCAGAAGATACTTGAAGACAAATGTAATCAGTCCATCACCCTTGAAGTTTTGAGGTGGCCCAGTCCCTCAGTCTGGAGAAAGTATTGTTCCATAGTCTAATATCTTCTGCTTCCAATCAATTTTTCTGTACTCGACTGAAGAAGCCTACTGTGAAAGGCGAAACGTTTCGAAAAAAAGATACCTAACTGTTGCATGTGTGTCTTACCTAACACGCCAAGTTCTGGCTACCCGACACTTGCAAGTCAGAAAGCGTCGCTCAAACGCATCTATTTCGGTAAATCTCCGAGCAGTGAGGGCGCTGATAAATCTTCGAGACAAATGAGGAGTCTCCAGAAACAGATACTAGTGTATTTTTCTTTCTGGATCTCGGTCTTCGAGGTTACTAACTACATTGGACTTGTGTGTCAGATGTCGCTTAAATCTACTATTATAGTTGAAAATCTTGTTGCAGTGAGGACACTTGTGGCTCCTCAGAGTTCGAAGCAGCTTTGTAGGCTTCCGAAGTTCTGTATAGATATGCAATTCAGGTTCCCTGTCTCCTTGAGGAATGAATTCGCGAGTAAGGTGTTGCTCGAAGTCAGCTTCGCAAGAGTTACCAACATTACCATTTTTAAATGATAGTCTAGAAGAAAACTCGTAACTGTTGTGATTCTGAACCTGTAACTCTGGGTTCAGGACACAGTTCCTAACTCTTTGGCTCGTTCTTAGGAGTTTGTGGAGTGAACGTA